TGCATTCAGTATAAGATTTCATGTAATGACTGTGAGGCAACATATATTGGTGTGACGGGTAGATAGTTTAATATCAGACGTGAAGAACATCAAAGTGGGAATCGAGTGAACACCTCTCTTTTTGTAACAATAGCCAGCAACGACTTGTACTTGAGAGTTGGTTTAACAAGTTTGAGCATCATCCACTAAACCGTTCAATTAACTTACCGGCTCCGTATAATAGGCTTATTAGAAACAATAACTCCGTCCACAACACCGAAACAGCGACTCGCACTCATTAGACCGATGCCACTAATTACGCTAATTATTATACAGCTTCTCATTAATCCCATATAGGTAACTGTCCAATTATTTTCTTAATTGGACAGGTCTCGTTGATATGAGATTAATTAGGCAGCTATATAATTAATAGTTAATGGGATTTCATGCTCCCCAATCAAGAAATAATTAGACTCGAAAAATTCCTCTGACTGCCAAAGAGGACTCGGCCTACGGCCTCATCCAATTTTGTCAGCTCTCGGAATTTTCCTCGTCCAATTATTTCTTAATTGGACAGCATGGAATCCTATTACATATGCTAATCCAGGTAATTAGGCTATTGTTATCGTGACAGTCTCTGCGTGACAGTATAAATATGAACAATCTGACTTTATTCTTCACTTGACTCTGGAGATGACTTCCGCTCAGGTTGTCGAAACGTCAGTCACATCAAACAGTCCTTCTCAGGACTACATCCACCCGGGTGATCACAATACTTAGATAAACATTCATTCACCTGGGTTCAGACCGTTCTATACAACACTTGGTAACCCATCGAATTGGTTTTTGATGGCTTGACTATATTCTACGTCATTCCCATCCGTCCGTAAGTACTTACGTACATACACCCTTGTACCAAACCATTCATGTTCAGGTTGATTTCAAAGCAAACTACTTTCAAATGAAGAAAAAACATTTTTGAAAAATTGAAAAAAATAACATTTTTTATGATCAAAAATTTCTGTTTTGGTCATTGCCAAACAAGAATATCAAAGAAATAGATAACAAAATTAGAAACTTTATGAAAAATACGTTATGAGGATCAAAGGTCCTTTTATTGCGCGAACTAATGAGAACATGAGGGAGCCACTTTTTCATATGGATACCCAAATATCGTTATGTAAAAGAAGTAGAAGTAGGCTTATATTTTGCTCAGTATTTTTTATCACTTTTAAAATGTTTTGTCCTGAAAAAAATCGAAAACCTCCAAAAATCGGATTTGAAGACATTCTTGGTCAATTTTACCAAACTCCTGATATTGTGTTACATTATCTGTAGTTGTCTTTCGCTTCTCATGGTAAAATTAACCAGCAATTCAAAGCGTGAAAATTATGTCCATGTCGAACTTTATTGAAGAAATTTTCAATAACAATTAGCACACCTTGGTGTGGTTGGTGATGGGCTGTGTTCACTTGTGTAGACTTAGTGCTGACATTATCATTATTTGGAATAGGAAAAATATTCAAAGAATGTCTTCCAATTTTAATTTCGCCTTTAAGGTTAATTTTCTTTGTGTCTAAAGCAATGGGATCTCCGTTGTTAGTCTATACCGTATCGACAGAGCCAAAGTTTTGCGGGTTGTGATTGGTCGAAAGTTTGTCAGAGTGGAAGTAATATAAAAACGTCTTTTATTCTGCATCTCGTCATTTTCCCCTTATATTGAAATTTTGATTTATGCTAAAACGATTATTAGGAAATTAAACACAAAAAAGAGAACTGAATCCTCCTACACTGCCTTTCTTGAGATCCCGTACGATCAATGAATATAAACACTGAAAAATGATATCCAATAAAATCGAATACCAAGCAGCTTGTTGGGGAGAAAAGATGCGTATTTAGTACAGAACTAGTAGATGTCTGAAGAGATGTCTAATAAAAGAATATCCGATATCAGTTACACTTGAATATAGAGTTTCGCGCGCTGTGATTGGCCAAGCGAAAAGCGATTCTCATTGGGACGTTTGCATAATGGCGTCATTAGACTCCCACTACCAATATGCTCTGCGAATTTTCTTTCTTTTTTAGATTTGTATTCCCTCATGAGAATAGTAAGACAATTGGTGCTAATTAACTGAACAAAAGAAAGTGTTCGAGGGAGTCTGATTTATTCAGTTCGTTAGTAGTCGTACACTATGATAGTAAAAAATAAAGCAAAAATCGATAATTATGTGTTCAAATATGAATAAATCCATCACCTGGACTGCAAGTATCACATCTATTTCATCACCTGGACTGCGAGTATGCCATCTAGCCATCTTGTAAGGTAATGGCTAGATGGCATACTCGCAGTCCAGGTGATTGACAGAGACTACGGAGAGTTTAATTCTTAGGGGAATTTTATTCAGTCCGTTAGCAATCGTACACTATGATAGTCGGCGACTTGTTTAAAGTTTTTATTGTTATGTCAAACTGTCGTCATTGATAAAAACTGCCCCACTGAATGGGCCTGCTGCAGGTAAACTAGAACTTTTCATGAATGAAGATTCACGAAACTCGGTGCCCACTGCACTTTGTGAACTCCACACTGGTCTTTTTTGTATAGACGTACTTGTAGTATTTCCACTCAGAATCAAAGATATGTTGGCTGTTGTACGTTTGAAATAGTACTGTAATTCACTGATATACCCTTTAAGCTCTTCTGGCGTGATTTCCTCGACTCTTCTCGTTTCATTTTTGGAGTTGAGAAACTCAGTCAGCAAACTTACATCTCTTCGTGTCTTTGAAAGAGTGTTTCTGTTTTCTTTTTCTTTTTCTTGTTTTTTTTTGTTTTTGTTTTTTGGTCTTCGATAAACTTGTCTATAGGTTTGTCTAGAGACACAAATCTTCTTGATTGTTCAGCCATCCTCACAAATATCTCCTAGCTCTTGATTAGATAAGTTTAATTTGAACTACGAACAACTACAAGACACTGAAAATATTTGAAAGTTGCTCGACAAAGCTACCCGCGATGACCGCGAAAACACGATTCGCTTCGACAGTGGTTTGCGATTGGACGAAACGCTTTTTTCACGCGTGACAAATCGTTTCGCTTCTCTGATTGGCTAAAAAAAGCCGCGAACTTGTTCACAGGGAAATTTGATAAGAAAATCTCAGTATGTATAGAATAAAAAAGATTTATCCTGTGTAAAGTCCACTCAAGGTCACCGCGCGTGGTAGCTTTGCCACTTGAATGTTTGAGGGGGTGTGCCTCTCCTGCACCCACCCACATATGGCCTGAACGCAAGAAACTTTTGTATCTTACATTTGTGCAGTCCCACATGGGCTACGCAAGCGAGATCTGGACTCCCCAGTCCTGCATATCCACGCTTATAATTTCCCTGCTCTTGCTGCCCATTTCTTTTTCATTTCATGTTTAAGGCTATTAATGGGGAGTATAAATAAACCGGGAAAATGTCCCCCATAAAGAAGAGAAGTAAAAATATCCACGGCAAAATCGATTTTTCAGATGAAGATCGTGAGTAAAATGTATACTTGTAACGAATACCAAGCCAGTAAAGGAAGGAAGAGAAAGGTATGTACTGTATGTAGGTGTCTAATAGAGGAAAAGCGACGTAAAGCTCATTTATTATACTCGTGAAACAAAGTCAAATTTCATAGAACTTAACTCTACCAAATTATCGGCTAAATGCGAACTTAGTAAATAAAAGAAAAATAACAACAATAGGCTGATTCAGAATTCACACATGATAATTTACCCTGCATGTTTTTAAAACCTTGAATATAAACTTATTTCAATAAAGTTAGTCGCCTGAAAAGCTACAAAGCTGAGAGCAACAAGGATTATGGGTAATTACATTTTACATGTTTCAACCGCTTTGATAACTGTTGATGGATTTTAGATCTTTTACCAGTTACAGTCTCACCTCTTCTGAGCATCCTCAAGCTGCAAATTGTATCAAAAGCTTTAATTGTTTGATATTAAAAGTTTCCCATGATCCTCAGTGATCACAGCTTTCTAGGTTTTTTGGTGACTAACTTTATTGAAATAAGTATATAGTGATGAAAGTATCACTAGGTGTTGGTTCAGTACCTCCAAGTATGCAATAAAATCGATAATGGAAACGAAAATACGACAGTGATTTAGTGGGATAGGAATTATATTAAAAAACAAAAGATCACTGAAGCTGAACTTTTTCTTTCGTCTTTTAATGTATTCCTTTCTCACTAAATTAATGTTCTATTTCTTCAATGACAACCTTCTTGTCAGTAGGTGTATATTAAAAAAAATTACAGATGAGTTTAGTACATTTTTAAACTGGATTTTTATTTCATGAGAAGACGTTAAATTATAGTATTAACAGTTTTGTAAGATATTATTGATTTTGTTTTCAGATACAATTTAAAATCATAAGATGTTAATAAATACAAGTAAATCCTGCTGTCTGAAATATATATTTCTTAATCTAATAGTACATATATAAGTAGGTCTGTATGGAAATGTATGCAAGAACCAATTCATTTATAGCAGATATTCAGAAGACATAAAAAATAAAAATTTGGAAGGTTTTGAATCTGATTGGGCACAATAATTACCAACAAATAAATTATTATTGGAAAATAAATTTTAAAAATAAATTCCTGGTTAATGGCCAGACATGTCTGACCAAATAGGACTGATCAACAATTGACCAGTAAATGTGTGACTGATCACGAGGACTGGCCAGACACCCTTTGTCTCTTGTTTGAATAAACATTGTCAGTTGATCATAAACTTTTACCCACTATATTTTTACTTGTTTTTTGTAGTTGAATTTAGCTGTTGGTGTCTTAGATTGTCAAATAGAAGTTAGAATGCTCACACTAAATCCGTGAAACAAATACTAATTTTTAGCACTAAATAGTGATAATCAAACAATAGAGTGACCACAGTAAATCCGTGAAACTTTAGTAATACTAAATAGCACAATTTCATGCAAGTTCCATTGTTTTCTATTGTTTAACTAGCACTATTTTGTAATATTTAGTAATTAGTGTTTCACGGATTTACTGTGGTCACTCTAGAAAACAAAGGATTCTGTATGAAATAGTACTAATTACTACTAATTAGTACTATTTAATGTTCACGGTTTTAGTGCGTGCACTCTAACAAATCCAGAACAGGAAGCTTGACTAAGGGCCCTATTAAAAATTGGACTTGATTGTTTTTGAAGCTGTACACACATATACCTCAACTGAATATACCTCACACTCAACTTTAAATAGTTCACTCTAAAGTGACTCGACAGCAGGTATAAAATACAGAGAAAGTAAAAACTTTATATTTTCACTGGTGCGTAAAAACCATATTATTTTCATCATTACTTAATAAAATAATATTCTTATGTATTAATATTAATTAATGATAATAATTAATAATGTACATGCATTTATCCACTTATACTGCAGTGGATATTTCGGATAATAATTCCTGTAATTTCTTTTTGTATTGTGAATACCTAGGAGAGAAAAAATTCATAACATTAAAACACAAATTGATAATATAAACTGAACCTCTACGGTACACTTTTACATGACATTTTCAGTCCTATAAATTAAGCAATTAGCACAAAAAATATAACGGGCGCAAAAATATGTTGATGCAACAGTTAAGTGCCCCTTTTAATGTCAATAGATCTCCTTGGCTCTGACACAATGTTTTCCCATTTCAGACCACGTGTCATTCCTTAGAGTATCATTTCTTTGTTTAAGTTTTGCGCTCGGTTGCACATGAGAAGACACATGAATATGGATACAACTCAAACAAATAATATTATTCTCAAGGGAATGACACAAGGTCTGAAATGGGACAACATTATTCTCGTGTGCTTCAGAGCTGAGGTCTATTATTTGAAGAAATGACAAATATACTGAGCCCTGAAAAAGTGGGGAAAATATGTTGTTACTGGGAGCAGCAAGTATCTACTGATCCAAATTTAAATCACCCTCAGATATCACCAAATTACTGCATCACCAAAATTACATGTCATAAGGTGTCACATGTGAGTTCATTTTTTTGATGTTTTATTTTTGTCTTTGCAGCAAGTTAAGTAATGTATGTCCTCAATTTATAAAGCACAACACACTTCAAACTACTTCATACATCCAAAAGCTATGTAGTGTTTGACCTTAGGTAGAAAGACGACACTATACTTTGTATAACAAAGATATCTATAAAAATGTCGTGACCACTTGAAGATCTGTAGTAAATTTCTTTGTAGTGAACTCTTCGAAGCTCAAGCTGATAGTCTCATTTTGATGCTACGCTCATCACAATACGGCTGGTTTGTTGGGGGTGGCATGCTCAACTATGATGACAGCTATTCAAGGTCAATCTGATACGATAATGCTCACCATTCTTTGATTCTAAGCACTTCTCTCTCTTCTTCCTCTTTAAATTTCGTCAGGAAGACATACAGAACAGGATCAGCAAAGTGAAGGTACTGTGCAACCTGATGGGAGAAAACAGCTGGATTAGAAAATGATAGGTGAATCAGTACATGTACAGAAGGAAGGAAAGATGAATGGACAGAAAGACGTATTGATGGGTTGAAGGGTGATTAGATAGGTGTACAGAAGGTGCATGGACGAACGAACCAATGGATAGAGGGAAAGGTTAGAATAGTGAGTGGACAAATGAATGTATTGACAGACATATGTAGTGATGGGTTAAATAGTGAGTAGATCAATGTACAGAAGGATGTAAGGATGGATGGACAGACAGATGCATTGATGGGTTGAAGGGTGGGTGGATGGACAAATACGTAGTTGAGAAGGTGCATGTAGATTGATGAGTGGACAGATGTATTGAAGGATGGGAGAATGGATGGACAGACAGATGTATTGATGGGTTGAAGGGTGGGTGGATGGACAAATACGTAGTTGAGAAGGTGCATGTAGATTGATGAGTGGACAGATGTATTGAAGGATGGGAAAATGGATGGACAGACAGATGTATTGATAGTGTGCATAGATGGACCAATGGTTGAATGAGTGGGTAGGTTGGTAAGGGGACATGAGTTGGTGAATGCTAGAAAGACAGACAGATGAATTGAATGGTGAGTAAATGGATGTACAGAAGGATGCAAGGATGGATGTGCAGACAGATGTAGTGATGGGGTGGAGGGTGAGTAGATGGATGTACAGAAGGATGCAAGGATGGATGGACCAATGGATGGATGAGAGGGTAGATTGGTAAGTGGAGAGATCAATGGGTGAATGGATTGATGCATAAGTGGTTGTAGGGGTGTTTGGATGGATGAATGGAAGGAAGGAAGGAAAAACATACTTGAGGTGAGGCTTAATTGGTCAAATGGCAACAAAAGGAAAAAAAAAAAAAAAAAAAGAAAAAAAAAAAAAAAAAAAGAGACAGAGAAAAGAGGAAATAAAGTTCCACATTTTTTAATTACCTCTGGAGAGACGTTGTTTGAATCACTTGCTTCCATGATATATAATTTTGCTGCATACTACAAAGAACAAAGTTAGAAGTATTAGTTAGCAGGTTATAGATTTGCTGATGAAATGGCAAAATACCATTATTTGCTAGAACGTTTTTGGAATAATGAATTTCTGTGGCTTAACAGTATCCTCCTTGGTTCCTATGCCATATTGAAAAAAATTGTGCCTGTTACGAATCTTGCATTCTGGTTGGATTTGAGGGTGTTCTTTTAATGAGAGCACACTTTCTATTTTGTATCCAAAATACAATTATTACTCTAATTTGTATTTTATGAAAAATAAAAATGAAAAAACTCGCTTGCTGTGCTGTGTATTTATAAAGCACTTGGGGATTGTCAGAACACTCAAGAAGTGTTGAGAAGCACTGCGCTACACATCCTAACACTTCTCTTGTGTTCTGCCAATCCCTGTATATTTTATAACTTACTACAAACAGCAATATAATTATTAACATAGAAATGAGACAAACGACAAGTCACATATTCACAAAGTAAACAAAGATGAACAGAAAAATTGGAAAGGATAACAGAAAGCACTTCATAACATCTGCCAAGATAACAGAAGAAACTGAGATGTCTTATAATGTATAGTTTAATAAATAAGCGGGAGTGTTATATCACATTTAAAACCACGAGGTGTAGCCTAGTGGTTTTAGACCTGATAAAACATGATCTGCGAGTTTATTGAATGACTTCAAAAACTCATGGATAATTAATGAGCAATTAGGGTCCTTAATTGTGCCATGCTCTTGTACTCTTTTGGTCCTTTACAAAGGTTTCAAAATCTTTATATAAAGATATCCATGTTGAACTATTATCAGGTATAAAGATACATGCACGTGATGAATTTGAAGGACCTGATTGGTCTAAATGCTCATATATTATTCATGAATTTTTGAAAAACAGAACAAGAAACAAGTCACTCTTCTTCTTGTTCTGATATTAATTAACAAATCTATTTAGCATGATGGCAGTGGAACCGTGAGGGAGACTGTTATTTAACTGAATGAAGTCAACATACCTCACTGGGTCCTAACATAAGACGACATTGTAATGGACTCTCATTTTCTTCAAGATTTCTTGTTGCTAGAATATCAATAGTTCTATAATATTATTTAATACATTACTCGCTGGCCTAAAGATTTAAATGACTGTGGAAATGGGTACAAGCTGGTATAATTATGCTGTCCTGTGATGGTAACATGTGCTAGAATAAGTGACTGTGATGGAAATGTAGGTTATATGCCTGGGAGTGAAATGAGGCACAGTTTGCCCAATGAGACATACAATATTTAAAGTAGCGTTATGAATATGTTGCAATATGAAGTCCATCATGTTTCAATACACCAGTTTTGCATCCGATGATAACTGCTGTTTTTTTAATACCAGACCCATTTGCACAGGTTTAGCCTCATTTATTAGTCAGCTATTCACAGATACTATTAAAAATCCATGGGATTTTAAAAAATGCTATTATTCAACTAGCACATTCTTTACATACAGTAGATTTTCAAATGATTTGCTCTTAATTTACTTAATATAAAACACTGTGACACTATAAAATGTAAAAGCATACTTTAAAATGTAAAAATATAATACAATGTATATGAAAATGGAGTTTCAATGAATGTTTATATTATCGCAGTGTTTTATAATATAAGTAAATTGTATAACATATCTTTCTTACTTCAGATTTGCTCTTAAGCAAGGCTAAGCCTGTGTAGAAGAGTCTTCAATCATAAAATACAGTAGTCAGTCATATAACTGATTTAGAAAAGGGAATGTATATCCAATACTTACATCCATTGTCATAAACAGCATAAAGATTAAACTTTTTTGGATTATTAGTAATCTGAAACATGAATAATCAAAGCATTAACATCATACATAAGCTCTCTTTATTTTAGAGTGATAGTAATAATGTGTTGCTACAATGCTGTTCTCATCACTAGAACTGTGTAGTTCAAATCTGAGAACACAAGTTCAATACACTGATCCTGGCTTTGCTTGAGTAACCATCAAAGAATGGGTAGTTTTCCCAGTGGAATATAGAAGGTTTTTTATTTGTTATTGACTTTTTCTCAATGTATCTTTAGACAATTTTAAGCAATCAGGGTTTGATCAATGCTGTATATCAAAAACACATTTTAGCTTGTCCGACCTAGCAACAGTAACTAGGAAGGTAGAATGATGAATTAAGGATTGGAAAATAGGCCATTTCACGGATCCTGTTACTCAACCTCAGCCTCGTCAGCATGTAATTATTCTTTAGAATTTGACTACAGTCCGCAGTAATGAAAGGAATTTATACATCAACAAACAATTGAAACACCTAAAAATTTCACAGGTTGTAGGCAATTTCTAAAGAATATATTACACGCTGACGAGGCTGAGGTTGAGCCGCAGGATCTGTGAAATGGTCTATTCTTGATTGAATTGCATTATGTGAGTTGAGTTTGTGTTTAAAGTGTTGTTCAGCTCTCCCATGAGGATTTTCTGGTTTTCTTCCCCCTGTAAAAATCAACATGTAAGTTGAGAGTTGTGCATGGTGAATAGTGAATGTAGTGGGTATGTGCAAGAAGAAAGGACCTCATGGAAGAGCCCCTCATGGGGAGTGATGGTCGTAAAATATAAACTTTGTTGGGTGAGCAGTTGTGGAAAAACTGCCAAGTAATGTAGCCTACTTTATACCTGGAACTTAGCAAATAGCAGCTTGATAACTTCAGGAACTTTGGTTTTACTTGTTAATCTTAAGTTTGTTGAGGTACCATATGGAGGAGTGAATGTGGTCTTTGATTGTGGAAACTGTATAAAAAAAACCCAGAAACATAATGAGCATAATTAGATTATTATAAATATATAATATATATTAGAGTAATATTACTTAACATGTACCACTTGTATGTCAATAAATACTGTATTTTATTTTACCCCTTGTAAAGCTATATTTTTCTATAATTGTTTAAGCAAAGTAATATTTTAGCTGACTTGTATGTTACTTTGTTATCATAATTTACTAGAGACAGCTCACATCAGGAGTGTATCCAGGGTGAAGGGGTCACTCTACAACAGTCTCAACTAAATTAATCAGAAATCATCACAAATCATCTCTACCTTCCCAAGATTCATGCACATAACAAATGAACTGATTATGAAAAAGGCACCTACAAACCTCCCCCCCCTGGATTTACTCCTGCAAGTTTACAATCTGTTTATAAAGCATGAAATTCAGCTTCCACGACAGATATATTATAATGGCTTCTGTCAGTGGTTTAATCAATTTATCATTGAATCTTGGAGTTAATAAATAATAAAAAAGTGAAAATATATTAGTAAGAGAGTGTTGAGTGTGATGGTCTGGGTGAAAGTAGTCTGCAAAAAGGCTGTTGTTGGTGGTGACTGACATCAGGTAAGAGAGGGGATTGAATGAAGGGAAGGTTTTAACAAAGGATGGTATGATGAGTGTATAGTGTGATGGTCTGAGTTAAGGTAGTCTGCAGATTGAATAGCTGTTCTTAGCTTGTTGGCCACCAACACACCAACATTTATCATAATGACAACATGAAGGGACTCAGCCACGTATGTTAGTACTATGACTGATCTGCTCACTTCTAATTCTGAGGACAAACATGACCATCACACTCCTCTCTCACAGAATATTTGACTGAAGTCCAAACTGTAATAACAGCTATTAAAAATTACTGATGTTTTGTGTTCAGATATATTTAGGTATAAGTTTAATAAAAGAAGCTTACATCTTGTGAAGAAGAATACAGTTCATTTAGCCATCGATTACCATTGAAGTTTATAGGATCTGGATAAGATACAACCTCTTTCTACAAAACACAGCAAGTGGATTGTAGATTTAATATCACACATTTAGAATAGGCATGCATGCACACTCCATCAGAATTTAAATAAGGTAAATATTTAAAGACCTGATGTTTTTATTTTAGAGTTAAATAATTATGTCATTCCGTTAATAGGTAGAACATGCGTGTTGCAATGGACAGTACACAGTGCATTCATGCAAGATTTCTCAAAAGCAATTCCATGGTTTGATTGTTTAACTGTTGCACACGGGAAAACACACAAAAATGGATACAAAACAAACAAATAATTTTATTCTCAACAGAATGAAATAAGGGTTTTTTCTCCAGGTTTTCTTCCCTTCACAAATCCTTATACACACCAACAATTAGATCCAATTAGATCTATGAAAACTTGTCATCGCTTATCACCACCGCAAGTACAGCAGTGGCACAGCTCAGCAGGGTCAAACTGAAAGCATGTGAAGGCGCCTCTGACAGCTGCTATACAGTGCATGTATGACCCAGGAGCACAGCTCTAACCAATTTGAATTACTTAGGGTTGATTTGAGAGAAGGGAGGAAAAACCGGTGGACTGGAAAAACCCTTGGAGTCAGAAAGAGAGTTACTTAGCTGTGCCCTGATTTTTGTCAGGATAACATTTATCTTTGTCAACATGCGAGTTTTTGAGTCATGTACTAAGATTATTTAATGTAATTAGGTAGTGAGAGTTAAGCTTGAGGGTATGTTGCTGTATGACATAAACATTATATTTAGCCTCTTGTAAAGAGACTCGGTAGTGACTACCATTGTTGCAATGTAAAGAGAGAAAAGATTTATTGATGGTTGAAGAATAAGTTTAAAGAATAACACAAACCCTGTGTATCTAAAGTGATGGTTAAAAGTGTTAAATGTTTAATGTTTACTCAATAAGTTATAGTAATAGTTTGTTTAGTAATCAATATTGACAAGTATAAACTATGTTTATCATGCTACTAATGTTTTTGCAAGTAGCATCTGGTTACTACTAATGTTAAAAATAATGTAGTTATTTTCACGTTAGGTGTCAATAATCAAATTAAAGCAAGTAATTGATTTATTGAAGTACAGGTATAAACCTGTTAATCATCTTGCACACATTTGTTATAATGCTTTCCCATATCAAAATCCCTAACATTCTCTGGAGTAACATCTCTTTGTTTAACTACAGTATTGCACATGTGAAGACACATATATATAGATGTACCATTGAAACAAAGAATCTTATTTTCAAGAGAATGTAACATGTTGTCTGAAATGGGAAAACATTACGTTCAAGCTAAAAGGGAATCAGGGGCAGATCCAGGGGTGGTCTGTATATCGTTAGTAACAGTCACCACCCTTTTCCTCAAATTCCTGGCAAAACCTTTGTAATAGTCAACCCCCTCTGAAATTCCTGTATCCTCCTCTGGGACCACTAAACCATATTTAGCAGTGATAGCCCCTTCATTTACACATGCTGTAAATGGAACCAATGGTCTTGTGGTCAAATCTATATATATATACTTATCCCTAACTCTTTCTTTAACTATCAACTCCTACATGGATCCACACATTTAGGAGGCTCTGATAACTCAGTGCCTATCCCAATAGGGCCATGGTTCAATACTGGCTCAACATTTTTTACCTTGGGTTCTGGACAGAGCTGGAATTTGTTTTTCATTTGTGATCAAACATCTCTGACCCACCCAATTCAAGCAGCAAAAACATTCCTCTGATCTTGAACCCAGGGTAATCATCATATCTCCACAGGCAAATAATAGTAACATTAAACTAACTTACCCTAGGGGAAACAGAAAAAGTGGTTTGCGGTGAGGTGGGTCGTTTCTGTACATTGGTGCCGTCAGATGTGTGTTTATTTGTTATCGATTTTCTTCTTGCTAGTATTCTTTCTAGTGTGCTTGTTCTTGGTCTCTGTCAAAAAAAAGACAACACAACTTGGTCATTACTGGCTGATTTGCTTACTTGATTGAGCATTGAATCTTATGGAGATGTATGGGTTCAACCCCCAGCAGACTAAAACTCAGAGTCTCATAATAACTGCAGAGAAAAATAATGCTGCCTTTGTAATCACAACCCATTACCCTCCCCTCCCACCCATCAAGCCCCCCCC